AAATTTGGTTGATCGGCGAGGGGGAAAGTTATTACGAAGATTTAAAAATAAGTTGCCTTGCTTTTAAGCCGTTTAGGATCCTTACGGTAAGATAAATAATTAAAAAATAATAATTGTAACCTTTCTTTTATTTGGACATGCATCCACCGGCCAATAATAATAATAATAATAATAATAATAATAATAATAATAATAATAAAGTTGGAAGAGACCTTGGAGGTCATCTAGTCCAACCCCCTGCTCAGGCAGGTAACCCTATACCATTTCGGACAAATGGCTGCCCAGTCTCTTCTTTAAAACTTCCAGTGTTGGAGCATTCACCGCTTCTGGAGGCAGGTTGTTCCACTGGTTAATTGTTCTAACTGTCAGGAAGTTTCTCCTTAGTTCTAGGTTGCTTCTCTCCTTGGTTAGTTTCCATCCGTTGCTTCTCGTCCTGCCTTCAGGCGCCTTGGAAAATAGCTTGACTCCCTCTTCTTTGGGGCAGCCCCTGAGATATTGGAAGACTGCTCTCATGTCCCCCCTCGTCCTTCTCTTCATTAAACTAGACATATACAATCTGGGGCTGCCAATTTGGAATGCCATGGTGAATGGTTGGGCGTGATGCTGGAATTCAGAAAAGGCCGTGTTGTTTATACATTCATATAAGATATCCTATTGACAACCTAGCTCAGCTTTCCCCAAGCCAAGCTCATCACTTCCAGCGATTCGTTGGGATTGCAACTATAATTGACAGCCATAGTTGGGGAAGATGGAGCTAGCGGAAGGCAGGTATGGAAGCCAAGAGCCTGTCAAGTTTGCTAGATGGGATTGTAAGTCCTTTGAGATTTATAGATGCTCAGTTGAAAGTCAACCAAGGTGAAGTGGAAAAGACGCCCAAAGAGTGATTCATCATCTCAGTCTGAGTTTGGATTGTGACTAAGATTCGGTTACTGCGTTCCTCCCAACCAGCCACTCATCAGGTTGGGGATATCCTGATTTAAGGTTATACTCTGCCAATGTCCCTCAGGAATATCCACAGTGAGGAGTGAAAGAATATACTGGGAAGACTTTTTGAATTGTAAAGGACCTATGGATTTTTATATATATATATATATTTGAACAAGGAAAATTACGCAGAGCTGGCTTTCAGGATTAGGTGAGATTAAAGACAAAGACACGTGATGAGCTTCTTTTGGTTCTTTTGACAGGAGAATAAATAGTAGCTGAGAAATCGAGAGAAAGAAGGATTAGGAGAAGTCACGAATTCGTGAGGGATGGAAGTCTCCAAATGGTTATGTCAGATCCCTTCCAGTTCTTTAGAGCCCTGTGTCTCAACCTTGGCAAGCTTTAGATGGGTGGACTTCAACTCTCAGAATTCCTCAGCCAGGAGGCGCGTAGAGTCAGACTGTTATTAAGGCCAGCTGGAATGTTGGACGTAATGTCTGGGATGACATTAAATGCATTGCTAAGGTTACACTCCACATTTGTGTGTGTGTGTGTGTGTTATTCTGCGTGGCTGGCTGTCGGGGAAACCGAATGCTGACTTTGCAACGTCATTGTTTTTTGGCATTAAGAATTAATCTGTCTCAGATTTTTTTTTTTTTACTTATGGGGAAATCTTAACCACCTTTGTCACCATGATGTAAAAAAAAAAAGATTTGAGACTCTAGAAAGAGTGCAGAGAAGAGCAACAAAAATAGGCCTAGTCTACGTTCTTAACTCTGAGACAGGGAAGAAGCCCCTGAGAGCGATAGCGTTAGCTGCTTTGGGTGAGTCCATATTCTACACCTCAGTGCCTCTTACTACTATTTTTTTGTTGGCTTCTCTCCCATACTAGTCACTTTAATGAGGGTTATAGCAAATCATCATAGGATTGAACTTCAGGGATCATAACTGCAGACAATCTGAGTTGCTGTCCTTCAAGATTAGAATATGACTCGTCCCCAAACGATCCTTTAACAAGCCATGGGTTCGCTGTTCTTTGGATGCATAACCAGGATTGCGTGATTTGAACATTTGGGTTGGTCCACCGTAGGGAAAAGCCTGGCTGGGCGGTCTTGACAACGGGGTCCCTGCTGATAGCATTCTCAGAGCAAGTCATGTCTCTCTAATCTCCCTGGAGAACAAAATTAATCAGAAAATGCAGTTTGGGAGATACCTGGACCGTGGATATTCAGAAACGTAGGCACAAATTAGGGTGGAAACCAAAGCAGGAGCTTGTTCCAGCTCCCAGAGTGACATCAATGGAGGGAGCAGCCTGTCTGTAACAACAGAATCGCACTAACCACCTTCAGGACAGACCAACAGAATAGAATATGTAAACCAACATGTGATCTGCTGATTTGTGGCTGATAACAACTGGGACTATTCCACCGTCATCCCAGGCAGACACGGAATCCTGATTAGGCAGCGTTGGCATGACTTCTCTTAGGACAAGGAGTTAAGTTATCCAGTTGCTGAGGTTCAACGCCTCTTAGCACCACCAGGTAGTCTAGACAGACAAGCACAACCCTGCCTGATTCACAACTCTGCCCTGCCCCGACTTAAGTTTCCTTGCTGATAAATGTGTGGACCTGTCCGAAGTTAATTCTGCCCTCTCTTTCTTTCGTCTGGTCATGTTTTTTTCTAGTGCCGGGACCGAATCCCTCTGCTGACAATGACTTCGGCGTCACCATGATGATGGTGGGCTGGCTGGTTCTAGCACTGGTTTTGTTCTTGATGAGACCCACCAGCTTAAGGAGATCGATTACTACTGAAAAGCCGTCTCGCCCGCATAGCGTGAGTCTGTTTCCCGAGGCATTTATTTCCTTCGGCTGGGAAGGAAATGTATAATACCGGGGTGTCAAACTCAATTTCATTGAGGGCCGCATCGGCATTGCGGTTGCCCTCGGGGGGCCGGGTGTGTATGGCCAGGATGGGTGCAACCTACTGGGTGGGTGTGGATGGAGTGGGTGTTGCGTACTGGGTGGGCATGGCCAGCTCTACATCGTTCGCGTCAAGGGGGCCTGTGGGGGCCTGGGCAGGAGTGGGACAGATCTGGGGGTCTCTGGCAGAAGGGGGTGGGACCAGGGCAAGCGCCAAGGCATGGTCCATTTCTTCATTCCTCACAAAGGGTGACCCCTCCCCAGCATGCACGCAGGGGACAGGGCCGACGCGGCAGGGGCCGGTTCCTCGCTGTTTCCAGACGGCCTTGTGGCACTAAGACTGAATGCATTTCAACATAGATGGCCACCACAAAATTGTACATTGGCTCCCGACCGGCCTGGACCAGGGCCAAGGCAGCGGGGGCCGTTCCCTCACTGTTTCCAGGATGGCTTCGCAGGCCACATGAAACCACTTCGCGGGCCGCATCCGGCCCCCGGGGCCTTGTGTTTGACATGTCTGGTATAATACTAGGAGAAAACTATAATCCGCTCGTCCTGTGTTAGCTTCGTGCTGCACTGTTTCAGTAAGACTTATTTTTCTAGGATGTCGTAATATTGCATTGCTGTTTGGTTAAAATCATTCCAGTTAAGACCGCATTAGAGACTTTTTGTCACCAGGGCTTGTGGAGAACAATGAGGATTCTCACCCAGGGCTTGCAAGAAAACAGAGAGGGCTGTTTGAATAATCCTCTGAGCCTTTATTGGCGATAACCTGGTTAACAGATAAGGCTAGGATTCTAAATGGCATTGCTTTCATTGTGTTGAAAGCTCCTTGCTAGCCACTTTGGTTTCTCAGATTTCTCCCACCCCCCCAATCTAAACAGCTCTTCATTTTCTCTTCCTCTTTTAGCTTTTAACGTTTCCTTGTTCTCTTTGATTGTGCTCTTCTGCTGCTTTTTCTCTGTCTCCACACACCATACAATCTGTCTCGTCTCCTTTCGGCAGCAATCATTCTAAGGGCATCTTCTTTCATACTTCCCATTAGTGTAAGTCCACATATTTCTTTGGCACTAATAAGATTCTTTTCCTTTTGTTCCAGGTAGCCTCTACATCCTGTTTTGTTTTGTTGACTTTCTAGTTCAGGGGTAGGCAACCTTGGCTCTTTTGTGACTCGTGGACTTCAACTCCCAGAATTCCTGAGCCAGCCACGCTGAGGGGAAAGGGAGAGGCTCAGGAATTCTGGGAGTTGAAGTCTACGAGTCATGAAGGGGCCAAAGTTTCCCTCATGCTGGCTCAGGAATTCTGGGAGTTGAAGTCCACGAGTCATGAAGGGGCCAAAGTTTCCCTCATGCTGGCTCAGGAATTCTGGGAGTTGAAGTCCAGAAGTCATCAAGGGGCCAAAGTTTCCCTCATGCTGGCTCAGGAATTCTGGGAGTTGAAGTCCACGAGTCNTGTGTGTGTGTGTGTGTGTGTGTGATATGAATTTTTGCTTCCAGACAGTCCCAATAGCAATTGTGAGAAAAGCATACCATATGCTAGAACAGTGGTGGCGAACCTATGGCACGGGTGCCAGAGGCGGCACTCAGAGCCCTCTCTGTGGGCACGTGCACCGTCGCCCCAGTCCTAGGCCTTCAGCTGGGTTTTATAAAACCTTTTTGCTTTAGGCCTCCGCCGCCGTGTGCAAAAAAAAAAGGTTCAATCAATCAGTCAATTTCAACTTCTCGCGGGAGAAAAAAGATCTTGCAAAGTTGGAATCAATTGATTGAACTTTTTAGTCCCACCCAGTCTGCCGTTACCACCGTAGCCACACGCAGCCAATGGGCCACACCCCTCAATTGGCCACACCCAGCCAATGGGCCACACCCACCCGGCACCCGACGATGCATAAGTGGGTTTTGGGTTGCAGTTTGGGCACTCGGTCTCTAAAAGGTTCGCCATCACTGTGCTAGAAGTAATAGTGGAGTGGCAACTCCTGAATTGTTCATATTCCAACCTATTCCCCCCCCTCCAAATAAAATTGGAAAATCTTATCATACCAAGAGGTGTAAAGAACACGAGGAGACATTCCAGAGTAGGACTGGTACAGAAAACAGATGTATTAGATGTATGTGATGCAAAATTTAGGCCTTTAAATAACACTTGATAGTCGGGAAAGTT